TAGGGAACACCTAAGCTTAAGGGTCCCTAAAAGAATAGGTTCGGGTCTGCTTAACCAGAACAGAGTTCGGGAGTTCGGTTACGTGTGAGGAAGGTTATAGCACCCTCACAACGCCCATCAAAAGATGGTACCAGCTTGAATTTGTGTTATCCAAAAGCCTTAAAATTTTACCAAGTAATTAGTTGTTGGAAATTATTCTCAATTGACTCTAATACTTTTAGCAGAAAATTGAGAAAATTCCCTCACCTCAGGAGTATGCAAGAAAAACTACTGTTTCACTTGCAGGGGCTCCGTCGTCGGATTTATTAAAGAAAAAACAAAATCATCCAATTAATTATTGGAAATTATTCTCAATTAACTCTAATACTTTTAGCAGAAAATTGAGAAAATTCCCTCACCTCAAGAGTATGCAAGAAAAACTACTGTTTCACTTGCAGAGGCCTCCCGTCGTCGGATTTATTAAAAAAAATACAAAAATCATCCAATTAATTATTGGAAAATTTATTCTCAATTGACTCTAATACTTTTTAGCAGAAATTGAGAAAATTCCCTCACCTCAAGAGTATTGCAAGGAAAAACTACTGTTTCACTGTAAGAGGCTCTGTCGTCGGCATTAATTAAAAAAAAAGAAAAAAAAAATCATGATCAAATCAAAGTCAAAAAAAAAATTCAAAAAAAAAAAAAAAAAAAAAAAAAAAAAAAACCTGGAGCGGCGTCGGGTTGCGGCGTCGGCTCGGGCTCGGCTCAAGGAAGAGAAAACGGCTGGAGAAGCGGCTCGGGCTAAGAACGGCTCGGCTCGGCTCGGCTCGGAGGGGTGACTGGGCCACTGGGTGCGGGGTCAGAATCGCGGTCGACGCTCGGGTCGGGTCGGGTTCGGGTTAAAACGCCGATCCTCTGATTAACTTAAAGCCCAAAAACGACGTCGTTTTGGAGGGTATTAAAAGGCACCTTCCTCCGTTTTTCGGCAGAACGCTCCTCTCCCCTCTCTCTCTTCCTTCCCTTTTCTCTCCCTTCTCTCTAAAAAAACCGAAGAACTCCGGTGGAAGATTCACCGGATTCTGGAAATTTTCGCCGGAATCTGGGTTTTTTCGCCGGAAGTTGGCCGGAAATTCACCAGTTTCTGGGATTCTTTGCCGGAAACTGGGCAGTTCGCCGGAAACTTCAATGTTGGCCGGAATTTTAGCCGGAAACTTCAAGGTTGGCCGGAAAATTCAACCGGAAACTGGAATTTTCCAGAAACTCCCAGAAAAAAAAATTTCGAAAAATCCCCAAAAAAATTTCTGATAATTTCTGGAACTCTCCTAAACCTTTTCCTAGCCTTCTATACTCTTCCCTACGCCTTTGCTTCTCAAATCAGTAGCTCTAGCTGACTGTTTTCTGTGTGTTCTTGACTGTTCCAGGGGGGTCCTTTATATAGGGGTTGATCAGGAGTTTCTGATCAATCCCAACTCCTCCTTGGACGGGGATTCAGTCTTTGAATCCAATTGGACTCTTTAGATTGAATCCCCACTCCCAGTAGGATTCTTCAGCTTCAATCTCAACCTTCCAAAAAAAAAAAAAATCAAATAAATATAAAAAATAATAGATAATTAGAACAGATAAATAAAAAGATATTATAGTAAAAAAAAATATCTGATAATCAGGAAAAAATCAGAACAGATAATTAAAAATAATAATAATAAAATAAGATAAATCCAAAAATATCTTACAAAAATAATAATAATAATAATAATAATAAATATATAACTATATAAATAATATACATATAAATCTAATCTGAATAAAAATAAATAAATGAATAAAGATATACATAATAATAATAATAATAGAATACATAAAATACAAAAGAAAAAAATATACAGGATTGAAATGGGCCTTACCCATTTGGGCCAGGCCCAATTGATCTGGGCCCGGACCCAATTGGGTGTCTACAGTAAATCGTTACTAACTTAGCAATTTTTTTGTTTTTGTTTTGGTTGAATATTGATATAGAGCTATTTTTTTTAATATATGTAACATATTTGATTTATTTAGAAAATTATATTTATTGCCATTTAATACTAAGGTATTGAATTACAAATATTTGTGGATATTGTACACATATAATTAAATAAAACAATATTTATGTACCGATTACTATAACAACATAATTTTATTGAAAAAAAAATCAATTTTTGAAGTAAAAATTTGAAATGACTTGATCTAAATTTGTATGTTATTGATTGTCTACTTGATAATAAATTAATAGTAATTAGATTAACGCTATATTTTTATTCAAAATAAATTGTTGTGTTATGTGGTAGGTTTTATAACACTGACAGCAACTATAAAATAATTATTATCTTTAAAGATATTTTTAAAATGAAAGAAATAAATAATAAGTCTAAACTTATTAGACAACACCATAGAAAAATTATCTACAAGTTACTTTCTCAAGTAAATAATATTTTAAATGAAAATATATGATTTAATAATCTAAGAATAATATGAATTCTGTAAATTATATTTTTATAACAATATCAGTTAAATGATGATTTTTTTGTATGACTTATACTAGATATATAATTAAGTGTTTGTTGAATAAAGAAATTACTTCATTTTAATTAAAAAAGAGTTCAAATATTAAAACTATATTCATTATCAATTTTAAAGTCTAAGATTTAAAACATAGTTTACCTTCAAAATATAATAATATCTTTTGATATTTATCTAAAATAGGTCATATCTTATTAATTTTAGAATTATTATATTTCATTATTTAACAAACAATAATAATATTGAACCAAAATTAATTGAGAAACATATTTCAATATTTAAAGAACAATATAAAAAAACTATTTGATTATGATAAGATATACCTTTAAGTAAAGTATGTTATTTAAACTCTTATTATAACATATTTTAGTAAGTTATGCATATTTAGTGGCTTTTTAAGAAATCAGTAGTCGATATTAAAAGTAGTTTTAGTTAATATCCCTTGTAAATATATAAATAAACATCATTGATGATTATATCGAGATATTAATGATTCTTGATTGCTTCAAATCCTTTTTTTTAGAATATGTTTATAAATTAATTTTTTTTAATTAGTAAACTTCATGTAGGTATCCATTTTTTACTATAAAATGAAACTACAAAATGATTTATATTTCATAAATAAGTACATATCAAAATCAGAAGTAAGTGATCATGAAAAAGAAAACATTATATAGTTACTTTATTTCAAGCAACAAAAACTTTATCAGAATATGGTTTCAAATCAAAATAAATAATTTAAATTTTCAATAGCAAATAGATGAAAAGCAAGAGTTTGTATGAGTTCAACAATGATCGATTACCTCAAAAATTTTTTAAATTGAAAATAAAAATCCACTACAAAAAAATTAAAAGAAAAAGCTCGAGAAAAAGCATAAAATAAAGAAGAAAGGAAAGTACAAAATTCGATTTGATTGTGATAGAAGACAATTCTCTGACAAATTTAAAAAAAAAAGAAAATATATAAAAAATGAATGAAAATGGTGACTTAAAATTAAAAGATTTAAAAGAAAACTTCTATAAAAAAAAAGTCAAAATAAAGAAATATTAAATATTTATTCTTTATCAGAATTTTAATTTAAAATTTTTGTTATATTTATTTTTTAAAACTTAAATTTATGTTGTCAATTTAATTTAGTATGACGATGGTTATTTCAATTTTATTACTATAAAATTATTAAAATTATTTCATTATATTAGAATTATAATTTGGTTAACAATTATAAACGTGAAAGAAAATTAGTATATTATAAGTGGATACTTCAAAAATATTCTAAATCCCGCACTAGAATTAACTAATCGTGAAAATCACACTATCCCCCACACCATTAAAGAAAAATTTGCAGTGAGACAATTACGCGTCTTGTTTGGAAAACCAAACACCGGAGCTAATAATTTCCACCGAACTAAAACTCTTTTCAAACATGAAATTCACTTTCATATGAATCATGTATGGAGTATGAAATAACATTGCAGGGTCAAGCAAGTTAATTTTTCAAAAGAATTTTATATCTATTTGGCGCAACCAATTCAGTCTTTCTCGCTCTATAGTTGTTAGGGACAATAAAATACTATGGAAGTTGGATTGGAATTGTCGAGCTTGATACCCGGAACTGGAAGCTTTGTTCTTTTCTTTTCAGTGTTTTTTTTTTCCTCATGAATTGGAACTGGAAGTGGTTTTTTTTTTTTTTTTTTCTCTGGAGCTTTATACAGGAATAAAGCATCTTAGCTTGAGCTTGATCTGTAAAGATGTAACTTTTAGTTTTGGCAGTTAAATTGGTAGGTGTAGTCATTGTTGTACATGCCATGGCTTGTATCAGATTCTTGCACTGCAAGTAGTTGAGTTGAATCATTGATAATTGTTGATGTAATTCCTGGTCTGGTAGTCGAAAGTCTTACTGGAGGATGAGAAAGAGAGTATGTGTGACCTGTCACAGAGTAGAAAGTCAGGTGTGCCAAAGATATTATTTTGAAGCATGCTTTGATACTCAACTCAAGATAGTAAGATACATCGGAAGCAAGGAAATGAAAGAGAGCAGGAAGTAGTTATAGAACGTAACAAAAGTTGTATAGTGAATCACTTGACTAGTCTGGTTATGCCTTTTATACCTCTTGGGTGACGACATGGCTAATTGAGCTTCCATGCGTAAGACCAACTACGTGGCTACTAACATAACCACTTAGGTATAACAATAATGAAGAGATTAAAAGATAATAAGATTTTCACTAAGAATTTTTTTGGATAAATGATTTTTATTAATCCAAAGAAAGGAGTAGACCTGCTACAAGCAAACAATGAGCTATCAAAACGTTAGCAATGTCCCAGAATAAGCAATAAAGCAAACTAATAGACAAAACAAATATAACTTTTGCAAAGTAATCAAACTAAACAACATTAAGGATCTAGTCCCCAATTTAGACGCAATTTTTTTTATGCTAAGCCAGAAATTTATTAATAAAAACAGTTACACAATAGGGTGAACAGCTGGAGATCCCCATAACTCAGCAGTAAAACACCACCTTATAGACAGAACAGAAGACAAGCACAATACAACCAGACATACCGCCAGTCATCTTAGGCGAGCAAAAGGGAAAGAACTGTGACACAAGTACCGTAACACCAGGAAAAAAACATTCAGACACAATTTCTGTTGTGGAAGAGGAAGAGTGGAACTGGAGACTGCAATCCTGTTATTGAATCTAAACTAAAAGAAATTTCTGATATCCCAAAAAACAGCTTCTATATCTCTTGATGGCCTGCTAAACATCCTTTGCTTGTGCTCCTGCCAAATAAATACATATATGAGCATCCCAAGCCAATCTAATTAAGGACAATAGATGCCAAAGTTTTGCTTTGCTCTTAAGATGACTGACAGCCCAATCTAACTCAAAATACCAGTTGCCCACATGTTTTTGTTCAAAACTACAAATTACTAACCTGGAAACTCATGATTGTCATTTGTAAAATGAGGTTAGGAAATTCAAAGGACATATCCTAGTTTGTAGGCAATTTTTGCTTTTAGTTTTAGAAGCAATGCCAAGTTTAAAAAGGGAATGAGATGCCCCAAATTGAAACCTTCTTGAATTAAATTTCGAATGCATTTACTTTAGTGTAGATATAGATATCACACTTATAATGCAAGAGGGTATTTAAATAATTTTATTTGTTTAGGCAATTAACTACAGCTTAAAGAATCAACAAGAAAACTTTTGAGTTATTAAGTATTCTAGAATGCTTACCAAATGACTTTGAAACATGAATTTTGATGGAGTCACCTACAAGATCTTCTCCATTTTTGGTTCTGGTTCCATGTAAACCTAGCCATCCATTTGTTTCTCAGCTCATTCAGCATTGTATATCCAACAGATAACCCAATCACCAAACCACATCCATACCCAATCAATACGATTTTCCAATCAGATATACCATCTACCCATGAATCTCCATCTTTCTTAGAGGGTGGCATTCCAAGACCAACTTCGTTGAATTTCCTTGTCAAATGCAGCCCACACAATCTTGGGTTCCCTTTGTAAGAATCGTTTGAAAATGCATTGAATTGGTAGCTTTGTGGTATGCTTCCCTCAAGTTGGTTGCAAGAGAGATTCAATACTGCAAGAAAAGTTAGGCTTGTAAGCTGTAGAGGAATCTTTCCGGAGAGTTTGTTCTGGGAGAGGTCCAACGACTCAAGCTCAGTTAAGTTTCCATGTGCTAAAGGAATTGGGCCGAGGATGCTGTTATAGGACAAGTTTAGCACTTTGAGTGACTTGAGGTTTTGTATTTCTTCCGGTATTCTCCAATGAAAATTATTATTAGAAAGGTCAAGACAAACAAAGATGGTTAAGATCTTCTCATAAAAAATTTCAAACCCTTTATTTACATTTGTGGCAGAGTCCTGTTAGTTATCATCTCCAATAAAATCTGACTTAGCTTTGTTGCCATCAATCATCATCCTCATTGCCTTCAAAAAATGAAAAAACTCGACAGATAACTCACCTGACAAGTTATTGGAAGCAAGGTCCAGCATGTGTAACTCTGGGAAAGTATTTTCATCCTTAGAAATTTTAATCGGACCGTAGAATCTATTTGCTCTTAGTACAAGAACTTTCAAAGAAGGCAATTTCACCAACCAAAAAGGAAATGCGTCCTGTATTATATTTTTTCCAAGGTCCAAAACTTCAAGATTTCTGCAATTAGCTATTGACTTCGGCAACTTCCCTTCCAATTTATTCCCATTGATTATAAGTGACCTTAGTTGAGAAACTTGAAAGAATTCAATTGGTAATTGACCAGAAAAATTATTGAAAGCAATGTCTAGTACATCCAAGTCTTGAAAATAAATTTTCACATGTTTAATTGGACCATAAAACCTATTTGCTCGCAATATAAGAACCACCAACCAAGGCAATTTTCCCAACCGTAAAGGGAATGTGTCATACAGATTATTGTTTCCAAGGTTTAAAACTTCGAGCATTGCGCAATTGGCAAATGACCTTGGCAACTTCCCTTCCAATTTATTGTCATTGAGTTGAAGCAAAAATAATTGGGTTGCTTTTGCAAAATCTGGTATGCTGCTGTTGAAATTATTTTTTTGTAGATCCTAATAGTTGAGAGTCTTGATATTGCCCGAGCAATTTGGAATTGGCCCGCTAAATTTGTTATAAGATGCATTAAACTTCTCAAGTTGACTCAAATTGCAAATAGGTCTTGATAAGGAGCCTTCTGAAGAAGTTGGAGACTGGTTTAGTGAAAATTGGTCCAAAGATGAGAGAGAATTGTTAGAAAGATCCAAATACCTCAGACTTTTCTTCCACACCCAGTTTGGTACTACACCACTTATATTTGTTATTTGAAAGGTCAAGATGTTCCAAACTACTTTTACCTTTTAAAAACTCTGGAAACATACTTAGATTACAGAATTGTAAGAACAAGAATCTCAACATTGGAAAAGAGGAGTTTGCATCACCAAAAGAAAACTTTTCTGGAAAATTAATTGCATTGAAAGAAAGGTCTAACTGTAAAAGAGTGGTCTTCCACAACCAGTTAGGCACAAAACCATGGATTTGGTTGTTAGAAAGATCTAGAAAAGCCAACTTGTCTTATATTTTGATGAATTCTGAAAATTCAGTAAGTTTGCATGAATGTAGGTCTTGCTCCTCTAATTGGGGAAAAGAAAGGCTTGTGATGTTGCTTTCAATTGATATGCTTGTATTGGAAAGGTCAAGAAGCCTTAAGTTCTTGAGTTGGGAGAACATGTGAAGCTTTATGGAACTAACACTATGTTCAGATAAATATTAATAAAGGAAATGAAAGGAAAGGAATTCTAACAATCATTGTTTGGATAAAAAGTGAAAAAGAAAGGAAATGATTTATTATAATAATTTTTTTCAATTATAATCTTTTATTGCCTGTGATTTTAGAGCACTCCTAGACCATGATATGTTTGTTATCTTATCTGACCTCACAATTACTGCTATATCAGTGATTTTTAATCAAGTAAACAAGAAGATGTTTTATAAACATGCATTGATGGATGATTGTTAGCTAGTTCCACGTCTCATAAATCCAAAAAAATGTCTATTCATATTCAATCAATCATCAAAATCAAATCACCAAAAAAATTATAAAAAATTTTTATATTGAAAAGACATGTAAAATTTACTTGAAAAAAGATATGGCTTTGAAAAAATTATAAGATGATTGTGATGTGGTTTTTTTTTTTTTTACTAGGTTTTTAGTATTAATAAAAAGATGGATATAATAGTCTTTTTATAAAAATAAAAAATTATCAACTTTCTTTTCCTTAGCTTTTCCCCCAAATTGGGGTATTAAAAAAGTGAGAATTACAAAGGAATCCAAAGATTATTGAGTTTTCACCTCTTTCCTTTCCTTTAAATTAAAAGTTTATTTAAACAAAGGTAGAGTTTTTCTATTTCCATTAGTTGCCTTTATTTTCCTCTCCTTTCTTTCCATTCCCCTCAATCCAAACATAGTGTAAAGCTATTGTAGCCTTTAGACAATGTTTCAATCAAGGAAGAAGATGCATTGAGAAACTCACGAATTTCACCAACCAATTGATTTCTTCCAAGATATAGGTTATGCAATGATGAAAGAGTAAATAACGAAGAATGTACTGATTCAAAGAGGTGGTTCATCAACAAATAAACATATGCCAGATTTGGAACACCAGATCTGTGAAATGTAGGGATAAAACCATTGAAATTGTTGTAGACACCCCAATCTATTCGGGATGTTTATTTTTATTAATTAAAAAAATAAAAAATTAGAAAAATTCTAAGGTGGTTGGATTTGCTTAGGGCTATTTTTCTAGGTCATCAAAGTTGTGATAAATTCAGAATTAGAGATTGAATTTAAAAGGGATTGAAATCTCATTTGGTTTAGCGTTCTTGGATTTGAGACCCTATAAATATAAAATTGGACACAGATGAGAAAAATTAGAAACGAAAACACGAAAAATAGAAAAACAATAGAGCAAAAATCAAAAGCACAAGAAATGCAGAAAGCAAAAAAAAATTTTTGAAGATTTTTGGGCTTAGAGAAAAAAAAAGGGATTTTTTTGAAAAATTTTGAAAAATTCCTGGATTTTGACGAAAATTTTTAGTTTTCGATGAGTTTTTTTATGTCGGTTGAATTTTTCGATAAACTTTCTAGCACCGGTTGAATTTTTTTATAGGTTTTGTAAAATCCGGTGAAGAAGATTTCGATGAAGGTTGAATTTTTCAATGATCGTTTGGTGAACCAACCTAGATTCTGATGACATTTCCCAAAATCTGGTTGATATTCAATCGGAGTTCATCTGGTTCTAGAAAGAGAAAAAGAGAAAAGAAAAGGGGAAAAGAAAGAAGGGAAAGGGGAGATTTGAAACAAAAAGCCAAGATTCAGCCTTTTATACCATCGCAAAATGATGTTGTTTTGACATTAAAAAACCCTAAGATCTACGTGTTTCTATTCGAACCAACCTGACCTGATCGTGACCCACTCCACCAACCTATGTTTCAGCCAATCCATTCCAACTAAGCTGAGCCGAGCCACGCCCCTAAGCTGCATTTTTGAGCCATTGTTTTTATCTTGAGTCAAGCTGAATTCTAGCCGCTAAGCCGAGCCATTTCATTTTTTTGGTATTTTTTATTTTTTTTTGTTTATGTGTTTGTTTTCCTTAGTATTTTTGCATGATTAAATTTTAAAAAATAAAAAAATGAAAAAAATAAAATATTTTGAGAATAGATATTAATTATCCAATGATGGAATTTATAGAAATTTTAAATAGTAAATTTTTATAAAATTTCTAAGTGAGAAATTTTATCTAAATTTGTCCCAAATTGTGGAATAATCTAAATAAAGTTTCAATAACAATAATTAATATTTATTTTCAAACAAAAAAAGAAATAAATAAAAAACCAAAAAATAAAAGATAAAAATTTATTAAAATTTTGGAAAAATACAAATTATCCAAGGATGAGATTCTTAGAAATTTCAAATGGTAAATTTCTTAAGAAATCTCTAGGTGAGAAATTTCTCTAAATTTGTCCCAAATTATGGATTAATTTAAATGAAATTTCAATAAAAGTAATTGTATTCTTTTCCAAATAAAATTTTGGTTGAAAATATGTGATAATTATCCAATGATAAGATTATTAGAAAATTCAAATGGTAAATTTCTAAAAAATCTTTAAGTGAGAAATTTCTTTAAATTTGTCCCAAATAGTGGAAGAATTTAAATTAAATTTCAATAAAATAATTGTCATATTATTTTCTTTCCAAAAACAAAAAAAAAAAATTCTAAATAGGCCCAAATTATGAAAAATTTAGAAATTCTGAAAAAGAAAATATTTCTAAATTGACTCAAATAGTGAAAAATTTAGAAATACAAAAAAAATAAATAAAAAGAATTTCTAAATAGGCCAAAATAGTGGAATAATTAGATATATTTTTGATAAAATAAAAAATAAAAAATAATTAAACCTTTTTTCCAACAATGGAGCCTCTTCAAGGAAATAAATGGGATCGTTGAATATTTTTAAGGTGAGAAAATATTTTTAAGAATTCTACCAGATTGATGGAGAATCTTAAAAATTATTTCTAATATTTAACATAAAAACTTAAAACCATTAGAATTCGGACCTTAGGATAAATTTAAAATAAATGATACCATATTTTGGATGGGCATATGGGGTGCTATAACATTCCTCATATGTAACCAAACTCTTGAACCATATTCTGGTTAGTAGACCCGAACCTATTTTTTTAAGAATCCTTAGTCAAGCTTAGAATCTCCTTAAAGGGATAGATTCTTTAGGTGACCAATTACACCTAGATAAAAAAGATTGGTGGTGACTCTTTTTGTTAAGTCTAGCTATAGATTTTCGGATCTATATATTATGACAATTGTTATAAGATAGATCCAGTTCCACAAGGTTACTAAGATTTTGCAATTGATGATGGAATTGGTCCAAAGAACTTGCAGCAACTAAGATCTAAATTTGTCAAGAATTTGAGATTACCAATTGATTCTGGTAGTTTGCCACTGAAATTTGTATAAAAAATCATTAAGATCCGTAAAGCATTGTTTAATGGAAATTCTGGTAATTGACCTCCAAGAGCGTAATTTTCTGAAATATCAATGCTTTCTATTTTTGGCAACAAGAGAATTTCTTTTGGAAAATGCCCACTCAAATTGCAATTCACTAAACTAAGAGAAACCAAATGAGAAGAAATTTCCAACAAATTGTGAGGTAAATTAGAGATCGGATTCGTATCAAGGAAGAGTTTGGAAAGAAAAGGAAGTCTTAAGAGAGAAGCACAAAATGGACCTGTCAACCCACAGCTCGACAGACTTAACATTTGCAGGTTAGGAAGTACTATAGATATGGCTTCACACCATTTAGTACTTTGAGTTGAAACTTCACACTATCCAAGTAGAGCTCCATAAGAGGTCTCAAATTTTGGATTAATGTCGTGAAGTTTGAGTTTTCGAGTTTCAGAGGTTGTTGAAGTTTGTAAGGAAAATCGATGTGCCAAAAATTTGGATCAAGAATTTTGTAATTGTATTGATAGCGAGAATCTTGTTTAGATAAATCACGAGAGACTAACCTTGTTAAGTATGAAATCCCCACTGGAATTTGGCCAAGGAAACATGAGTTTGAAAGGTTGAGATGAGTTAAATTTGGGAATCTATCAAACTCATATTGAAACAAAGTAGTATTAAAATTGTTTCCAGCAAGATTAAGGCATCAAAGATGATTGAGATTGAAAATGGAGTGAAAGTTGCATGAAAGGTTTTTGTAACTGAGATCAAGCCCATTTACATGACCCAGAGCATCACGTGTAATTCTTTTCCAAGAGCAACAATCAGTGTTGGGATCCCAAAGATCAACTTTGGAAGAGAAAGTAAAATTTGGGGCATAGTAAAGATCATGGTTCAATTGCAGCAAAGCATATTTTTGGTCATCAATGCACTGGTTTTGGAGATCAGTAGGAGAAGAGGAAAAAGATAGCACAAGAGATACAAAGCACGAAAAGAGAAATAAGGTAGGCAAAAAGAGTGAAATCAAGATACCAAGATTCTTCATGTTTTCTTTGATCTCTACAAAAACTGATGGGAAGATTGTGGAGTTTCACATTTCCATACAAATATTTATAGACAAGTACTTCATGTTACGATTATGCACAGTTATTATAGCTAACTGCTTTTATCTCAAAGTATAACCAATCCAGTAAATGAGAGAGAGTAAGCAGCCGTTAAAGAGAGTAGAGAGAGTTTAGCAGTGAATCACCTGTCTGGTTTGGTTCTACTTTTTATACCTCTTAGATGACGACGTGGCAAACTGGGCTTTCATGTGTAAGACCTACTATGTGACTTGTGACATGATCACTTAGGTCTAACAATAATGAAGAGCTTAAAAGATAATAAGATTTTTGTTAAGAATTTCTTTGGATAAATGATTTTTATTAACCCAACGAAAGCAGTAGACTTGCTAAAAGTAAACAGTAAGCTATCAAAACGTTACAAATGTCCAAGAACAATCAAACTTTTGGAAAGTAATCAAACTAAGCAACATTAAGGAACCATTCCCCAATTCAGACACATTTTTCTTTTGCTAAGCCAGAAATTATTAATAAAAACAGAGTTACACAATAGGGTGAACGACAGGGGAACCCTATAGAAAAACACCACCCCATAGAACAGAAGACAAGCACAATACAACCAGACATACTGCCAATCATCTTAGGTGAGCAGAAGAGAAAGAACTGAGACACAAGTACCGCAACAGCAAGCTAAAAACATTCAGACAATTTCTGTTGTTGAAGAGGAAGAGTGGAACTGGAGACTGCAATCTTGTTATTGAACTAAGCCAAAAGGAACTTCTGATATACAGTTGAAACAATAACTTCTATATCTTTAGATGGCCTGCCAAACTTCCTTTGATTGTACCTGCCAAATAAAATATATATGAGCATCCCAAGCCAATCTAATTAAGTACAATAGATGCCAAAGCTTTGTTTTGCTCTTAAGATGGCTGACAGCCCAATCTAACTCAAAATACCAGTCACCCACATGTCTCTTACAAGTTACTAACTTGGAAACTCATGATTGTCATTTATAAAATGAGGTTAGGAATTCAAAGGACATATCCTAGTCTGCAGGCAATTTTTGTTTTAAGTTTTTAAAAGGAATGCCAAGTTTAAAAAGGGAATGAGTTGTTCAAAGTTGAAACCTTCTTTAATTAAATTTCAAATGTAATCACTTTAGTCAAATCTCAATTTGTGCAGATATATATATACTAGTTTTATTCCTCGTGCTATACAAGTGATTGTTAACCAAATTATAATTATAATATAATATAATAATTTTGATATTTTATAATAATAAAATTGAAATAATTATCATCATACTAAATTAAATTAAAAATGTAAATTTAAGTTTAAAAAAATAAATATAACAAAAAATTAAAATTAAAATTCCAATAAAAATAAATATTTAATCTTTCTTTATTTTGATTCTTTTTAGAAGTTTTCTTTTAAGTCTTTTAGTGTTAAGTCATCATCTTCATTCTTTTTTTTATATTTTTCTTTTTTTAATTTTTTTGACTATAAAAGATTATCTTCTATCACAATCAAATCGGATTTTGTACTTTTTCTTCTCTATTTTATGTTTTTCTAGAGCTTTTTAAAGCTTTTTTAGTGGTGGATTTTTATCTTCAATTTTATAAATTTTTTAGGCAATTGATCATTGCCGAACTCATTCAAACTATTACTTTTCATCTATTTGCTATTGAAAATTTAAATTCATTATTTTGATTTGAAACCAAATTGTTATAAAGTTTTTGTTACTTGAAATAAAGTAAATATATAACTTTTTTTTCATTACTAACTTTTGTTTTTAACATGTACTTATTTATGTAATATAAATCATTTTGTAATTTCATTTTATAGTAAAAAATGCATACTTACATGAATTTTACTAATTAAAAATATTAATTTGTAAACATATTCTAAAAAAAGGATATGAAGTAATAAAAAACTATTAGTATCTCAATGTAATAATCAATGATGTTTATTTATGTATTTATAAGGGATATTGACTAAAACTACTTTTAGTATCGAATACTGATTTCTTAAAAAAATTAAATATACATAACTTATTAAAATATGTTATACTAAGAGTTTAAATAACAAACTTTACTTAAAGGTATACCTTATCCTAATCAAATAGTTTTTTATGTTGTTCTTTAAATATTCAAATACTTTTTTCAATTAACTTTGGTTCAATATTATTATTGTTTGTTAAATAATGAAATATCATAATTTTAAAATTAATAAGATATGATCTATTTTAGACAAATATCAAAAGATATATTTTGAAGGTAAACTATGTTTTAAATCTTAGACTTTAAAATTGATAGTGAATATATTTTTAATATTTGAACTCTTTTTTAATTAAAATGGAGTAATTTCATTATTCGATAAACACTTAATTATATATCAAGTATAAGTCATACAAAAAATTCATCATTTAAACAATATTGTTATAAAATTATAATTTATAGAATTCATACTATTATTAGTATTATTAGATCATATATTTTAATTTAAAATATTATGTACCTGAGAAAATAACTAATAGGTAATTTTTCTATGGTGTTTTCTAATAAATTTAGACTCATTATTTTTGTCTTTCATTTTAAAAATATCTTTAAAGACAATAATTTTTTGTATAATTGCTATCAATGTTATAAATGATACCATAAAACACAACAATTTATTTTAGTAAAGATATAGCATTAATCTACTTACTATTAATATATTATCAAATAGACAATCAATGACATACAAATATAGATAAAGTTATTCAAATTTTCACTTCAAAATTTGATTTTTTTTAATAAAAATATGTTGTTATAGTAATTGGTACATGAATATTGTTTTAATTATTTATATATGTGTACAATATCCACAAATATTGTAACTCAATACCTTAGTATTAAATGGCAATTAGTATAATTTTTTAAATGAATTAAATATGTTAGACATATTAAAAAATATAGCTCTATATCAATATTTAACCAAAAAAAATACTAAGTTAGTAATGATTTACTACTATATGTTATCGATGATTTGCTGCTAAGTTATATCACTAATTTATTATTAAAATATGAATAATTTACTATTAAGTTATCCAGACTTTACTACTAAGCTAAAATTGATTTACTAATAAGTTATCATTGATTTATTATTATCACTGATTTACAACTAAATTATAAGTGATTTAGCATTTAGTTATTAAATTATGACTAAGTTAACTCTGATTTATTATTATAATTGATTTATTACTAAGTTTTTACTTCACTCTTGCTAGTAACTAGAGTTCAATCCCTAAAAACTTTAAATATAAAAAAATTTATCATCAATTGACAATTAAGTTATTACTAATTTATTACTATGTTATCAGTAATTTATTATTAAATTATTAATGATTTACTATTAAGTTATGAATGATTTACTACTAAGTTATTGATGATTTAGTACTAAGTTATTAATAATTTATTATAAAGTTATAACTAATTTACTATGAAGTTATCGATGATTTACTACAAAATTATCATTGATATACAACTAAGTTATAAGTGACTTATTACTATATTATTAGTGATTTACTACTAAATTCAGTGATTTACTATTATATTATTATGCATTTACTAATTACCATTGATTTATTACTAAGTTTTCAATAGTTAGCTATTAAGTTATCAATTATTTACTACTAAATTATCATTGAATTACTACTAAGTTATTTATGATATACTATTAATTTTATCAATTAATTACAATATATGAGATAATTTTCTTTTTATATAATATAACATTATTGTTTCGTTCAAATTTAGAATTTTTTACTAAATTTTTTTAATGAATAAGTTCATGGTAGGTTTATCCTAATCCTTTTCTCTTTCTAGTAACCAAGATTCAATCATTAGTAACTTTGAGTATAAAAAAAAATGTTATCCCTAATTAACAAATAAGTCACTACTCATTTACTACTATCTTATCACTGATTTACTACTAAATTATCATGATTTCTCATTAAGTTATAGATGATTTACTACTAAGTTATAAATGATTTATTACTAAGTTATTGATAATTTACTATTAAGTTATTAATAATTTATTATAATGTTATTACTTATTTACTATAAAGTTATTGATGATTTACTATAAAATTATTAATAATTAACTAATTTACAACTAAATTATCATTGATTTATAATAAAATTATCACTGATTTACAACTAAGTTATCAATATTTTACTATTATATTATTAGTGATTTACTACTAAGTTATTGATAATTTACTACTAAATTATTAATGATTTACTACTATACTATTATGCATTTGCTGCTTTATTATCATTAATTTATTACTAAGTTTTAGTGATTAGCTATTAAATTATGATTGATTTATTGCTAAGTTATTTATAATTTACTACTAAATTTGTAATTTAATTACTATTAAACTAAAGTAAATTAACTATTATGCTATCACTAATTTACTACTAAGTTTTTTTTGATTTACTACTAAATTATCAATGATTAACTATTAAGTTATTTTTTTTTTATAAAGTTATCATTAATTTACAACTATGTTATTATGTGTCTACAATTATGTTATAATTGATTTATTATTAAGTTATTATGCTTTGACTATTATATTATTACTAATTTACTACCAAATTATAATTGATATACTATTAAGTTACATATCTAATTTACTATACTAACTTACTATTGATTAACTATTAATTTGCTGATGATTATTATTAAGTTATATTGATTTATTTTTAATTTTTAATTATTAATTACTACTTAGTTATAAATTATTTACTATTAAATTATCATTGATTTATCACTAAGCTATTTATGATTTATTACTAAATTTGTCAATTAATTACTACTCCTTTATTTGTCCCAATTAAATTGTCACAGTTGATTTTTTTAGTTAAAATTTTTAACTTTGACATCTATTATTTTAAATATTTTAATAAATTAAATTTTACAAAACATATATTTAGAAACCACTTCATTTAAAGTTTTTAAAATATTTTTTCATATTTTTATCAATAATAAATAAAAAATAATAGGTGATTAAAATTGAAAAAAATTGACCAACAAAAATCAAAATGTGACAATTTTATTAGGATGGAGAGAGTATTAAACTGAATCTTATTTACTATTAAGTTATCATTAATTTACTATTAAGTTATCATTGATTTATTACTAAGTTATCAATAATTAACTACTAAGTTATCACTTATTTTTTATTAAGTTATCTTAATTTACTAATATGTGTTATACATTTACAATTATATAAATGATTTACTGTTAAGTTATTTGTTATTTCTACTATGTTATTATGTATTTATTATTATGTTATCATACACTATTTTATCAATTATTTACTATAAATTATTATTTATTTACTATTAAGTTATTATTATTTTACTATTAAGTTATCATAATTTACTATACAGTTATCATTAATTTAGTATAAAGTTATTACTGATTTTGTCTAAATTATCACTAATTTATAACAAAATTATCAATAATTTGCTACTATATTATTATACATTTACTACTAAGTTATAATTGATTTACCATTAAATCTTCTATAATTAATTTAATTGTGTAAATCATATTAATAGGTGTAATATATTATAAACACTAAATTATTCATTTGTAGAAAAACTATTTTAAGCCTTCTACCTATATTGCTTGTGTTGATTGGGGCATGAATGACTTAACCAAAGAAATACTATTTTAAGAAAAAAATAAATAAAAATTAGATAATATTTTAATTTACTAAAAAATATTAAATAAAAATAAATAGAGATAATTTAATAAATTATCACATTTTATATATAATATAGATATATATTAAACATTTTCTTAATTATAGAATGTCTTATTCAAGGTAGGCTATAAAATCTAAAGTATGTATATGTTTGTGAGTATTCTAAATATTTAGCTAAAATTTAAATAAATTTTTTATAGTAAAGTTGGCTAAATTCCAAGTGGAGCACTTTTTACACATTAAAGAAAAAAAATTAAAGGTCATGTTATCATTTGTCATCCAACACCTTTTTTTTAATCATTTTCATATATATTATGATACATTGATCCATTGAGTAATAAAAAGACTAATTTAATAATTTTACGATCTATATGAAATATTAATTGATTCATTTGTTTTATTTTTGTATATATATAATTTAACATTATCAATTGAATTAATTTCTGATCTTAATTGTAAGATTATATAAATAAACATATTTTATTTCACATCCTCATACTTCAAATTTTTTATTATGCAACTAATGAGTTTAATTGTAAGTCTTCTTTTCTTTATGAATTGAATAATTGGTTGGACATGCATGATTGGCATGCAGTGTATTATTAATAGGAGTGTAACAAATTAAAAAAATCACTTTTAATATTATTTAGAGTTCACACTTTTATATGTATATATCATTGATGATGCATGTTTTATCTATAATAAACACACTCATAAAATATAAATAATTATTAACAGATGCTTTCATGATGAGAGTACAAATTAATAATCATATACTTAAAGAATATAAACAAATAATAGAAAATAAACTATAACATTATTAATTTAAAGAATATAATAATTGGTTACAAAATTAACAAAGCTATGATCATTTAATAAAATGTACACAATTAATCATGTGATTAAAATATTTTTCACTATCAAAATACAAAAATATTCTAGAGCATTCTTAATTGAAAAAAATAAATTTATATTATTCAAAGGAAAATTATAAAATATATTAATAGTAGAGTTTTTAAATTTCACAATTTAAATTAGTAGTGTAACACACATACCCTTTAAGCTTTAGAGTATATTGAAAAAGGCTAATTGAAAAAAAATAAGTGTTATTAAAAAAAAACAAAAATCTAATTGAAAAAATAAGTGAGTGATATGTTAATTTTTTAACCTACTTGTAGAATAAAAAAAAATAAACTAACATGATATCAAATAATTTCTCGTCTTGAAGATTAATGTTTCTTAATAATATCGACTATGAATTCATAGAAATATCTCAATTACAAAATATTTGAAATTAAAAATAAAAAAATAAGGATTGACTGAAATTAACTTGGATGTAATATAGAATCAATCTATAGAAGGCAATAAAATATAAGTTTAGTAACAATTCACATATATAAGAGATTATATTCATAAAGCAAATATTCATTTAGACATTGTAACGTTAAGACGTGATTGCATAGAGTGATTAGAAATATTATAGTAAAATAAATCAACCATTGTAATCATTAAACATATAAATGTATATTTATAATTAAAAAATCAAATATATAAACTTACCACAACACATATATTAGTCTTTCTCAATAATTTTTTGATAATTTAATTAATAATTTTGTATGAACTTTAATTTTAATTTATTTAAATTAAATAAATAAAAAATATAAATATATTTAAGGACTCATGATATGTACTATTAAAGAAGAAAAAGAGTAAATTAAGTTGTATCTTGAAAAAGAGAAGTTATATGTTTTACTTAAGATAAAATTAAACGTTTTTTGGGCATAGATGTTATGATATAATAATTTAGATTAAAATAATGACTAATTGAGCAACAAAGGAAAGTTTTTATTTATGTTTTGTTCAATATCACAGAGTCAAAATATGCCATAGCCCATAGGATGAGAAATGTGTTTTATATGAATTTAATTGAATTATTACTTATGAAATTGAACAAAAAAGAATCCTAAAAAAAAAGAAAAGAGTAAATTTGGGTTAATTTTTGACAATACATCCATCACATCAAACAAATAAATTTTTAATGTAGTTTAATTTGATATAAATTCTATTAGTAAATTTTTAATTGATTTAAATTTAAATAACTAACGAATAAAAAGCTATATATTTAATGGTAAATAATCTTTATTAAATAAATAAATGCTAAAAATTTAAAGGTAAATTTGTTACTTTTTAAAATTCATAAGGATATTTATGCTATTCACTTTTAACACTTTTGCATTAATTCAAATAATTATCTAATAAATGCTATATATTTAATGAAAAATAATCTTTAATGCATAAATAAAAAATGCTAGAAATTTAAAGGGGACTGATAGCATGCCATAGCCATAGGATGAGAAATGTGTTTTATATGAATTTAATTTAATTATTACTTATGAAATTGAACAAAAAAGAATTCTACAAAAAAAAAGATAAGAGTAAATTTGTGTTAATTTTTGACAACACATTTACCATATCCCACAAATAAATTTTTAATGTAGTGTAATTTAATATAAATTCTATTAGTAAATTTTTAATTGATTTAAATTTAAATAACTAACAAATAAATATATATATATTTAATGACAAATAATCTTTATTAAATAAATAAATAAATGCTAAAAATTTAAATGTAAATTTGTTATGTTTTAAAATTCATAAGGATATTTATACTATTCACTTTTAACACTTTTGGGTTAATTTAAATAATTAACTAATAAATGCTATATATTTAATGGAAAATAATCTTTAATACATTAATAAAAATACTAAAAATTTAAAGGTAAATTTGTTATTTCTTAAAATTTGTAAGAGTATTTATGTTGTTCATTTTTAATTCATTTAGAGTTCACACTTTTATATATAGATAATATATATATATCACACTTATAATACAAGAGAGTAAATAATTTTATTTGTTTAGGTAATTAACTACAGCTGAAAGAATCAACAAGAAAATTTTTGAGTTATTAAGTATTTTAGAGTGCTTACCAAATGAATTTGAATTTTGATGGAGTCACATAGAAAATCTTCTCCATTTTTTATTCCGATTCCATGTAAACCTATCCATCCATTTGTTTCCCATCTCATTCAGCACTGTATGTCCAACAGATAACCCAATCACCAAGCCACATCCATACCCAATCAATACGATTTTCCAAACAGATATGCCATCTACCCATGAATCTTCTTCTTCCTCAGGGGGTGGCATTCCAAGACCAACTTCATCGCATTTCTTTGTCAAAGGCGGCCCACACAATCTTGGGTTCCCTTTAAAAGAATCGTTTGGAAATGTACCAAATTATTAGCTTTGTGGCATGCTTCCGTCAAGTTGGTTGTAAGAGAGATTCAATACTTCAAGAAAAGTTAGTTTTGTAAGCTGTGGAGGAATCTTTCCGGAGAGTTTGTTTTGGGAGAGGTCCAACGACTCAAGCTCTTTTAAGTTTTCAAGTGCTAAAGGAATTGGGCCAAGAAAGCTGCTGTAGGACAAGTTTAGCACTTTCAGTTATTTGAGGTTTTGTATTTCTTCCGATATTCTCCCATGGAAACTTTTACTGGAAAGGTCAAGACAAGCAAAGATGGTTAAGATTTTCTTGTAAGAAAGTTCAAACCCTTTATTCACAATTGTCATAGAGTCCTGGTAGTAATTATCTCCAATATAATCTGGCTTAGCTTGGTTGCCAACAATCATCATCCTCATTGCCTTCAAAGATTGAAAAAATCCAACAGTTAACTCACCTGAAAAGTTATTGGAAGCAAGGTCCAGTATGTGTAACTCTATAAAAGCATTTTCATCCTTAGAAATTTTAATCGGACCATAAAATCTATTTGCTCTTAATATAAGAACCTTTAAAGAAGGCAATTTCACCAACCAAAAAGGAAATATGTCATGTATCATATTTTTTCCAACGTTCAAAACTTCAAGCTTTGTGCAATGGGCTAATGATCTTGGCAACTTTCCTTCTAGTTTATTCCCACCTATTTTGAGTGACCGTAGTTGAGGGGCTTGAAAGAATTCAATTGGTAATTGACCAGAAAAATTATTGAAAGCAATGTCTAGTACATCTAAGTCTTGAAAATAATTTTGCACGTGTTTAATTGGACCATAAAACCTATTTGCTTGCAATACAAGGACCATCAAAGCAGGCAATTTTCCCTACCACAAAGGGAATGTGTCATACAGAGTATTGTTTCCAAGGTTTAAAACTCGGAGGATTGTGCAATTGGCTAATGACATCGGCAACTTCCCTTCCAATTTGTTGTCATTGAGTTGAAGCCAATATAATTGGGTTGCTTCTGCAAAATCTGGTATGCTGCCGCTGAAATTATTTTTTTGTAGATCAAAAGAGCTGAGAGAACTGATATTGCCCAAGCAACTTGGGATTGGCCCGCTTAATTTGTTAAAGGATGCATTAAAGGTCTCAAGTTGACTTAAATTGCAAATAGGTCTTGATAAAGAGCCTAGTGAAGAAGTTAGAGATTGGTTTAGTGAAAATTGGTCCAAATATGAGAGAGAATTGTTAGAAAGATCCAGAACTCGCAAACTTTTCTTCCACACCCAGTTTGGTACTGCATCACTTATTTTGTTATTTGAAAGGTCCAGATATTCTAAACTAGTTTGACTCTTTAAAAACTCTGGAAACATACTTAGGTTACAGAATTGTAAACTCAAGTATCTGAACATTGGAAAAGAGGAGTTTGCATCACCAAACGGAAACTCTTTTGAAAAATCAATCGCATTGAAAGAAAGGTCTAACAATAAAAGAGTGGTCTTCCAAAACCAATTAGGCACAAACCGTGGATTTGGTTGTTAGAAAGACCTAGAAAAGCCAACGTGTCTTGAGTTTTAATGAATTCTGGAAATTCAGTAAGGCTACATGAATTTAGGTCTAGCTCCTCTAATTGGAGAAAAGCAAGGCTTGTGATGTTGCTTTCAATTGATAAGCTCGTATTGGAAAGGTCAAGAAACCTTAAGTTCTAGAGTTGGAAGAACATGTCAAGCTTCAGGGAACTAAAGCTATTATAGCCAAAATTCAATGTTTCAATCAAGGAAGAAGATGCATTGAGAAACTCATCAATTTCACCAAACAATTGATTTTCACTAAGAACCAAGGTCTGCAATGATGGGAGAGTAAATAAAGAAGAATGTATTGATCCAGAGAGGTAGTTCCCATACAAATAAAGATATGCAAGAGCTGGAACTCCAGATCTATGAAATGCAGGGATAAAACCACTGAAATTATTATTGGACAAATCCAATTCCACAAGATTAGTAAGATTTGCAATTGATGATGGAATTTGTCCAAAGAACTTGCAACCATTGAGATCTAAATTTGTCAAGAATTTGAGATTACCAATTGATTCTGGTAGTTTGCCACTGAAATTTGTACAAGAAATCTTTAAGATCCGTAAAGCATTGTTTAATGAAAATTCTGGGAACTGATCTCCAAGAGACAAATTAAGTGAAATGTCAATGCTTTCTATTTTTGGCAACAAGAAAATTGCTGTTGGAAAATGCTCACTCAAATTGCAATTCATTAAACTGAGAAAAGCCAAAGGTGATGCGATTTTCAAGAAATTGGAAGGCAAATAAGAGATGGAATTCCAGTTGAGAAAAAGTTTAGAAAGAAAAGGAAGTTTTAAGAGTGAAGAACAAAATGCACCTGTCAAACCACAATTCGACTGACTTAACACATGCAAGTTGGGAAATACTATAGATGTGGCTTCACACCATTCAGTACTTTGCGTAGAAATGTTCACACTATCCAAGTAGAGTTCTGTAAGAGGTCCCAAACTTTGGATTAATGTCTTGAAGTTTGGATTTTCTAGTTTCAGAGGTTGAAGGTTCTGAGGAAAACCGTAATCAAGAATTGGGTTATTACGTATATAGCAAGAATCTTGATTAGATAGATCAAGAGAGACTAATCTTGTTAAGTGTGAAATCCCTACTGGAATTTGGCCATGGAAACATGAGTTTGAAAGATTAAGATGAGTTAAATTTGAAAGTCTATCAAACTCATATTGAAACAGAGTGGTATTAAAATTGTTTTTAGCAAGATTAAGGAGTTGAAGATGATGGAGATTGAAAATGGATTGAAAGCTGTCTGAAAGGTTTTTGTAACTAAGATCAATCCCAATCACATGACCAAGAGCATCACATGTAATTCCTTTCCAAGCGCAACAATCAGTGTTGAGATCCCAAAGCTCAACTTTGGAAGAGAAAGTAAAATTGGGGGCATAGTAAAGATCATGGTGCAGTTGCAACAGAACAGCTCTCTGGTCATCAAGACATTGATTTTGGAGATGACCATGACAAAGGGAAAAAGATAGCACAAGAGATAAGAAGCATGAGAAGAGAAATAAGGTAGGCAAAAAGAGTGGAATTAGGATATGAAGATTCTTCATGTTTTGTTAGCTCTCTAAAAGAAATGAAAGGAGATTGAGGTGTTTGAGATGTGCATACACAATATTTATAGACAAATACTTCACATTACGTGTTGTTATCGCAACTACCTTCAGTCCTTGATCTTAAGAGATAGGTTCAAATGCATTTTTTCAACCACATGTTTCTACAAATCATGAGTTTGAGCTTTTTTTCTTTAAGAGTTGAATCAAAATAGATGGAAGACAGACCTATTTATTGCTTGCCCATTTTGAAATTTAAAGAATGAATAATGGGTTTCAATGGTGATAAGGCTCCTAGTTTTGCTTTTGTAAACTAATCTTTATTACTATATCTTTCGTTTCCTCCCACCTTTTATTTCATATTATGCATTCGCACTAATAACAATTAAATTAAAAAATTAATTTTTTCAAAACTTAGGTAATAATGGCATGTATATTGGCAGGGAGAAATCTTCTCCACTACTACCAAAGAACGAAAATTTTCACTAAGCTTTACTCATCTATCAACTTGGCTGAAGGAGTAAAGCTTGCAAAGATTATCAGTCAACTCTATTATCATGGACAAATGCAGATGCAAGGCTATAGGTGAGTTGTTCACGAGCACCTCCAAACATGAAAGGAAATTTTAATGGAGAATTTTTTTAACATTTATAATTTTTTAATCTTTTCTGTCAATAAAATTGATAAATACACTGTAAACTTGAAACAATAGAACAATCGATGTTTTAGGCAACACACCCACAGATTTGCAAGTGAAAAAAAATCGAAGTTTTTAAAAATGCTGACTGCTTTTTATGAGTAGACAATTTTCAATCAAATACAACGGTGTAATATGAATAATGCATTTTTTTAATTTTTTATTTATCATTTTTTATATATTATAAATAGATATTACTGAAAAAAAATTATTATAATTTTCTTTAAAAAATTATAATAATTTTTTCTATAAAATATTATATGTAATCTTAGCATTGGTGTTGTTTTATGCTAATTAAAGTTTATAGTCTTTGGAATTGCTTACCAGCAAAGTCATTCAGAAGACAAAAAAAGAGAATGAACTTTGAAACACTTGGCACTAGTGGAGTCGGGAGAAGGACATCATTTGGTGCATTTTTGTTTCAATCTCATTGTCACGCTGCACAAGAAATTAATAGTAAACTTTTTTTAATTATTCAAAAGGAAATTTAATTTAAATTATTTAAAATTAAATAATAATTGCTCAATTTCAATGTCTAATTAGACTATATATTACCATCTTTACGTGATTATACTTATCTTTTCAAATGTCTTCAATCATCACTTCTAAGTTTTTATTTTTTGTTATTTGTTACTTATTTTCAATTCATTTTCCATTAGTAATTAATTATACTCTCACTATATCATTTTCTTTATCTATCATTCCCTATTTGGACATTTCAAAATTATCATCTTTGCTTTTTTCAACACAATTGTATTATTTTCTATCCGAGTATATTCCCAATCATTTTGATTTTTAGTTACATTTTTATATTTAAAACCTCAAAATATAAATTTTATATAATAAATTTATGTTTTAATATAAAATACACTCATAATAAATAGAAATCTGAAACACCAACAAAATTAAAAAATATAAAAAGAACATTAGGAATTTTATCTATAATATCACTCATACTTTATATTGTTTTAAACTAAATAAATCTTTTAATCGAAAAAAAAAGGAAATTAATCAATGAGATTACATAATTTTCTCACTTTTTAATCCTCCAATTAATTGATGTTTTTGGTTTTTATTTTTTAATAAATGAATTGAAAACAAAAAACAAATAGTAAAAGAAAAAAAAATACAAACCAAATGAAATCTAAATTATATTTTTCAGTTGAATCTCAAGAATGTAATAATTAATCATCTTAAATAATTAGCAATTATTCACTTGGTGGAATCTTATCTATAAGATTTGAGAAAGTACAACGAAAGAGTCAAGACATTGATTGTAATATTCAATAGATACCTAAATTTTCATTTATTTGAAAATAATAGGATCTAAATTTCCAATTATTTGAAAATAATAGGATGAAAGAAAAACTTTAGGATTTGAAAATTGTCTTTATTGTTTTTTTTTTTCAAAGTCCTTGAATCAATGGAAATTATATTTTATAGAGATCCATTTTTAAAATTTAAAGCTTCTAGATATGTATTTTTGATAAGTTATATAAATTACTAAATTTTCATATTAGGATGTAGAGAAAAAAATGATGGTGTATCTAGAATCATCCATCATAAAATTATACTTTATAAAAAAATAAATTTTTTTATTTATTTTTGACTCACAAAGAAAATGATGGTATGAGAATTTTTTATTGGTATTTAGTCTTGTCTTTGCTTTATACTTTTAAGTCTTCTCATCATGTAAATGTCTAAGTCTTCTTGCCCCAGCCGTACTCCGTGAAAAATAACCTTCTTAGCAATTTGCTTAAGTCAAGTTTGTCATTTAAAAAAGACAAAACAAACAACAATTTTCTCAATTGAAGTTGTTTTTTTTTGTCATTTAGTTAAATTGACAGACTTGGACTAGATTTTAAATATATTAACTATTATTGTTATATTTTGGTCTTTTTAATAACTTAGACTGAAGCAACTACTAATATTGTTATTTTTGTGAAGTAAAGATGGGGCAAAAAGACTAACACATTTGCATGCTTGATGCCAAGACTAAGTATAAAGCAAAGACTAAGACTTCGACCAATACATTACCATAGTGTCTATTATTTTCTTTCTTATTCCACCATTATAAAACCACAATTTCCAAAATAAACAAGTTTAAGAAGTGAGAGAATGAATATGTTCTTTAGATTTTTTTTCAAACTTTTTAGAAAAATAAAACACAGATTTTTAATTTGTTGATTTTTTCTGGCCAATCAATTTGTTGATTAAACAATTTTTTCTCATGATTTTGTTCCTAATGTACTGTTAGATTTCATGGTATGTGCATTTTTTATTTCTTCAGTTTTTTATGCTTAATATATTTTAAAGAGGACTTTCCACTCTTAGCCCAAGTGGTTAAGAGGCCGTTAGAAAGTCATCTAGGCGAGGGTTCAATCCCTGCCATGCCCCCTCCCCTCCTTGTACGGGCATTAGCCCCCTTTGAAACCAAAAAAAAAAAAAAAATTTAAAGAGATCCTTTAATTTAAAATTTAAATGATCCAATAACCACGTAGTCTGTTAGTAAAGTAGTAAACTTTTAGTTTCAATAGTTTAAAGCTCAAATCCTAACAACCTCACATACAAAAAAAAAAAAAGACAATCTTCTAATTTCACAAATTTCAGGTATACGAGATAATTTTTATATATTTTGATTTCTTCACATACAATTAATAGAGTTTTTAAATTTTATAAATGGTATTAACATCTCATACTTTTGTAACATATTTTCTTTAACTATTTTTATCCAAACTTAAATGTAACTTTTTTAACTTATCAAATATGAAAATCTGGTAAGTTATATAACTTATCATAAATGTATATTCAGAAGTTCTAAAATTAAAACGAGATAGGTAAATAAGTAATATCACTTAAAAAATTTTAAAAAAAAGTAAATGTAGAGAAAAGAATGATGATATATTTAGAATCACTCATCACAAAATTATACTTTATAAAAAAAATTGATATTCTAATTTTAGAATCACAAAGAAAATGATAGTATGAGATTTTTTATTCGAATTTAGTCTTTTCTTTGCTTTATAATTTTAAGTCTTCCCATCATGCAAATATTTAAGTTTTCTTTCCTATCATTACTCTGTGAAAAATAATCTTCTTAGCAATTTGCTTAAGTCAAGTCTGTCGTCTAAAAAAGATAAAAAAAAAAAAGTAATTTTCTTAGTAGAGGTTATTTGTTGTCTTCCAGTTAAATTGGCAGACTGAAAATGGATTTTAAATATATTAATTATTATTTTTATGTATTAATCATTTTAATGACTTTTTTTCTGAAGCAACTGCTAAGATTATTATTTTTGTAAAGTAAAGATGGGCACAAAAAAACTAACACATTTGCGTGCTTGTTGCCAAAACTAAGTATAAAGCAAAGTTTAAGACTTAAACCAATACTTTCCGATAGTATCTATCATTTTCTTTGTTATTCCACCATTAAAAAATTACAATTTCCAAAATAGACAAGTTTGATAAGTGAGAATGAATATGTTCTTTAGATTTTTTTTTTCAACAAACTTTTCAGCAAAAATAAAACACAAGTTTTTAATTTGTTGATTTTTTTGGCCAATCAATTTGTTGATTAAGCAACTTCTTTTTCATGCTTTTGTTCCTAATAAACAATTTGATTTCAGGGTATGTGCATTTTTTTTAATTGTTATTATTAATATATTTTAAAGAGATTCTCTTATTTAAAAATTTAATGAGCTAATAACCATATAATCTATTAATAAAGTGCTTAACTCTTAGTTTTAACAGTTTAAAGTTCAAACCCTGGCAACCTTATATAAAAAAAATCTTCTAATTTAAAAAATTTCTTGTATGCGAGATAATATATATAAATTTCTCCACATATGATTAATAGAGTTTTTAAATTTTATAAACATCATTAAATCCCATACTTTTTGTAAGATATTTTCTCTTAATTATTTTTTTTCAAACCTAAATGTAATCTTTTTCAACTTATCGGATATGAAAATTTAATAAGTTATATAACTTAAGAAATGCATATCTAAAGCTTTAAAATTAAAACGACATAAGTAAATAAGTAATTTCACTTAAAAATTTAAACAAAAAAAGAGTGGATGCAGAGAAAAATATGATGGCGTATTCAGAATCACCTATCACAAAATTATACTTTATAAAAAATTGATATTCTAGTTTTGGGCTCACAAAGAAAATTATAGTATGATATTTTTTTTTTGGTATTTAATCTTTTCTTTACTTTATACTTTTAAGCCTTCCCATTATGTAAATTTCTAAGTCTTCTTGCCCCATCATTACTCTGTGAAGAATAATTTTCTTAACAATTTGC